TTGAAGTCAGATTTGCTCGTTTCCTTCCTACTCTATCAAATGCAACTCTGCGAAAACTTGCGACAGATGGGAGAAGTGTGGACCGGTTTGATGCAGTCAGTCGGAGCAAGTAGGAAGGTAAGGAAAGATGCGAATGATCATGCCGATTCTTTGGAAGCATATAGCAGCTCTTTTTTGGCTCGAGCTTCCTTGTAGCACTCAAGTAAAACTTTTTCGATGGCAAAATTGAGCTGTATAATCTGATGAGGGTGCAGCGAAGTGTATAATTTTCAACCATTATTATGCATATGGATCAATGGGATAGAAAGTCTTTGCTCTTGGGAACAAATCAGTCAAGTACACCCTGATTGTGTCGCAGGTACCGTATTCGAGCCCTGATGTGCCACTAATACGAAGATGTAGCTTTTTCAAGTTTCAAGATTCATGGTGGTCTTACAATCAGTAGGAAGGTTAGAACTATACCATCGGGCTAGAGTGTGGTTCCAAGTGTAAAACTGCCAGTGTGACCCTGCTCCGAATCTGTCGCCCAGTCGGATGTATATTTGTAGAAAGTAAAGTGCAGTAAGAATTTCAAATTGGTTATCACAGGTATTTGAATACATCGATCGCGTGCCAAAGATTCTCCACTATGGAACGGCTCAGCCATCGCTTTTGAAGGGACGCATTGAGTTCCGTAATGTCCATTTCAGTTATCCTACGAGAAGCAATTTGCCAATTCTCCGCGTGAGTTGAACTTCTGATGGCTTCATGTTAGTTGTTGCGATTGCCCGCACATTATGTTGACCGATCGGGCCGTTCTAGGACTTATCGTTCACAGTTGAACCTGGAGAGACGGTAGCTCTTGTCGGTCCATCCGGATCTGGGAAATCGTCATGTATTGCTTTGCTGGAAAATTTTTATCAGCCGAACGCTGGTCAAGTTCTCGTCGATGGAGTACCTTTAGAGGATTACGAGCACCATTACATTCACAGAAAAGTACATAATCTTTTCATCCGACAACCATATTCATGCAGTACCTCATTGAACAATTCAGATTGCTCTCGTCGGGCAGGAACCTGTGCTTTTCGCCCGTTCTGTAACTGAAAATATTCGCTACGGTGTCGACGTCATGGAATCGGTGAGTGATACGTCCTTTCCTTCGAGATCACTACTTGTTCAATGAACTCATTCGACCTGAGTTTCCTCTTCCTGATAATTGCGATTCTTTTTTTCGCTAATGTAAGAATGCCTTCTAAATGTTTATGCAAATATTGTACCACTTGAATTGACTTCATTTGCTTTCTTTTGCTTCCGTACATCTACAGGAGTACAGTAGAATTTGGAGAGGAATCTCTCTCCAGCTTCTTGCCATCTTCTTTCACAAACGATTTCATTCAACTCGTTATGCTGATGTTTCGATAGTACTTGGTACAGTTCCAGTAAATTTTTCCATAATCTTTTAAAGATTATGGCAAAATTCTTTGAGGAGTGGCAGCGTGGAGTAGGTGTTGTTGTTTCCATATATTATATTTGTTATGCAGGACGTGGTAAGAGCAGCTGAGCTGGCCAATGCACACGGATTTATCATGCAAACAACGATGAAATACGAGACCAATGTTGGGGAAAAAGGCAGCCAAATGTCGGGTGAGGACCTTTTTGTTCTTTAGGGAAAGCAGCTCAAATTCTAGAATCACCTAGGTGGTCAAAAGCAACGGATAGCCATAGCTCGAGCCCTGGTTAGAGAGCCAGCCATTCTTCTACTCGACGAGGCTACCTCGGCCCTAGATACGGAGTCTGAGCACCTGGTGCAGGTTAGCGAAAATCTACTAGTCACCTTCTTTTGATCTTCAGCTACTTCATGTCAAGCCTAATGTAGAGACAAGGCAAGATCAGATGAGTATACCTTGTTCATCAATGTAATTATTTATTTATTTATTTATTTATTTATTTATTGAATGCGCTCAAAAGGCGCGCTACAAAGGAAAGCCGAGCCGCTGGTTCTGCATTACAAGAGAGATTAAGAGGTGAGAGAAACAAAATTAACGAAATGACCAAACAGAAAAATTCTTAACATGAAGGCCTGTAGGACAGGGGGTTCATATACCCCTTTTCAACTTATTGGATCAGACTTCGCTACTGAAGCTCAGGAACGAACCTCTGACAGTCTATCACATCACACAAGATCAGCGTACTGACGTGGCTGCAGAACACAATATACAGAGGCCGAACGCAGCACAGACCCGCACCAGTCGGCTATGGTGCCCACTCGCCACACCAGGGGTCATAGGGGCTCAACCGAAACTCCGAAACACGGGTATACCGACATCCCACGTGGAATCGGTGAGCTAGGAGAGTGCGACGGGCAGACCACCGAATAAATGTGCTGAGCAACCACAAGTAGGGGATCCGTGTGAATTCATGTTATGATAGATAAGATCAATTGTGGGCCAATGAGGGAAGAGTGTGATGATCATCACCCCAAACACCTAAGAGGATATCACATGACAAAACTAATCGCAAAACAACATGAACCACTTGTCCGCTAGGCCTAGAACAGCAGGAGGAGATGTAGTGCTATACAAGGATATTTTGAACAATACAACTTATCAGCATTCATACATAAGAAGTCCAATTTCACGAAGGAGACAGCTCTTACTCAGCGACTTGGGAACCATTAAGGTCAATACAGTCGATATAGTTACCAAATACGATGAGGCACTCAAAACATTCTCAATAGGTTCATCCATTGACAAGGCAAGACAGAAGTTGTTGAAAAAGGAAAAAAGGCGGAAAATCCACGAGGGCTGCCACCATAGCATTGACGCATTGACATAGACAGAGTTCCTGGCACAATCGACGGGAAGGCCTCAAACTAGAATCACCAGAACGAACTAGAAATCTGGAATATCCAAAATATTAAGAAGGTCGATCTTTTTCAATCTTTCACGAAATATGGACACACTCTGAGACTCAAGGATACTAGCTGGTAGCATCTGCAGCCATTTAGCACCGCGGAAAAACAGTGAATTAGTGACCAGTAGCTGCCGTCTTCTACTGACATGTACACAGCGCAAGCTAAGAGTGCTGCTACGACCTCGACATGGCATAAATATCCAATATTTACTAGCTCTCAACTTGGTTTCATTTCTGAGTATTTTAAAACAGAAAATCAGATCAGAAAACACTCGTCGATAAAGCAGGCTCTTCAACTTGAGAAGTTCTAATCTTTCCCGATAGCTGGGCATAGATTGGTAAGAATTTGAGACCATGAAACCATGAAACACAAGTTTCATTCTCCGAACTCCTCTTGAGCCGCTTATTTATATCTCAGCTTCTTAGGAAGATGGAAGCACTTATTTGGCCATACTCGATTTCCCACTACCTGGTATAAGCAGGCGTTTCCATGTGTTGGAGGGATTTGAAGTCCCGTGAACGAGTGATGTGATGGGTGGGTACTAGTGGGGGAGACTCCCACCTCCTCCCACTAATACCAACCAACCGCACCGTGGACTGCACGCAGGGTAATTTTCTGTTGCGTCGAATATGTGAAGGGTAGCTTGAGTGTTTATTCGGGTTACTGTGTAACCCATTTACGTGACTATGAAATCCGTTTTGTTTCCTAAGTCACAATGGATTCGAATATAATTGAAGGTACGAAGATAATGGAGCGGGAATAAATAACGCTGAACGCATCAACCCTCCACTTTAGTTGGACTACGTAGGCTTAATAGGTTGTGTTTCTGTTTCACGTTTCCTTCTCTAGACCCGCCTTCCTGACTGTCCTAGTTCGCAGCTTTGCCCTCCCAATGTCGTGATAATATCAAGATAGCTGTCAGCAACCAGTATCGAGGCATTAACACGACGCCTTGCAACGAAGAAACTTTAGCTGTAGGAGTAATCCGTGCTGTCCTCTGCTGTGCTCCGATCTGATTATAAATGAAACATTCCTATTTCTTTCTATTGTATAGGTGTCCCAAAAGTTTTGAGAAAATTTAATTGGTTAAATCACACAAAAATACTACAACAAAATGGTGAGATCAGTAATCGAGATAGTGGCCCTCTTTAGCCACGACGTCCCTCCATCGACTGGGCAGAGCGCTGATGCCGTTCATCCACAAAGAAGAGGAGCGCGATGCGATCCATTCATCTACTGCACTTTTGACCTCCTGACGGTTAGGAAATTTTTTCCCTTTGAGGTAAGCTTGTAGACTCCTGGAGGCGCGGTAGTCGCAAGGGCTAAGGTCAGGTGAATACGGAGGATGGGGTAGCCAGGTAATCCCAAGCCTTTCCAGCACCTTAGCTGTCGCCCTAGCATGATGTGGTCGAGCGCTGTCCATCAAAATCAGAAACTTTCCCTGCATTCGGTGTGGAACCGGGGCTCTAGACACCATTCCCCGCAGCTGTTCGCAGAATACCCTTGCAGTCACAGCAATACCCCCAAGTAGGACCTCATCGTAAAAACAGCCGGCGGAGCAGAAGAAGAACGAGATCATCTCCTTTTTGACGTGCGCCCCACGCTTTGCATCGGCTTCTGACCTTGTGTCGATTGGTAGCCACTGCAACTTCCTGTGTGGGTTTTCATAAGAAATCCACTTCTCATCCTGAGCGATGAAGAAGCTCGTCGAAGCCACCGCTCGCTTGCGCTTCCGACACACATCGACCCGCACTAACTACAGGAACTGCTGCGCGAAAGCAACGACTGCGTAGGATGTCATGGATGGTGGAACGGGGAGCAGAAATCGCCCTCTCCATTTCTCTCAAGCTTTGAGAAGAATTCCTTTGGACGGAGGCTGAGACAATGTCGATTTTGGTGGAACGTGGACGTCCGCTCCGTGGCGCTTCGTCGAAGTACATCTCTCCTCTAGAGATGCGTTTATTCCGGGTTTGAGTGGCGGAGTGACCAGATCGGTAGTAATGAAGCAGAAGGTGCCCGTAGTCGTGTCGGTCGGACACAATTCAAATGATCATAACTCAGTTCCAAAGATGAAGTGCAATATTGTTCAATTGTTTTGACGATCTACCAAGAGTGCCCTTTTCCTGCCCTTTTTTCCATGGCTCTGTTTCGGCGCTTTCTTGCGCAACATGGTTGCGAAATCCATGACCAAAAATTCCTCAAAACTTTTGGGATACCCTAGTACACTGCTCTCTCTTGTGTACCATTAATTGTTCCTTCTTGGCTTGCTCTTTTCGTCGTTTTTTTTTTTTTGCTTTACCGCTCCCGATTTGTTGCGCATATAAGAGAGCTATTCGATAACAATTTATTTTATTATTTCACAAACAGCCATCTGCTATTGTGAAATGTGTAGAAATATATGTTGTAGTAGTAGGGAATTCAAGTATTGGAAGACAACATGAATGAAGAGACAAGCATTTAAGGAAGCCATTTACAAAAACCTCGACGGAAAAAGTGTGATTCTGATAGCCCATCGATTGTCTACGGTCGAAAAAGCCGACAAAATCATTGTCATCAATAAGGTATGATGCAGCAGAGATTTAGAAAAAATACATTATAATTTCCTTTATTTGAACGTATCGTTGGCAGGGCAGAGTAGAGCAGATAGGAACGCACGAAGAACTGCTGAGGATTCCGGGTACATACGCTTCACTTGTTGCTAGACAAATGATGGGCGAACAACAACGACCACGGCCAGCCCAACTCATGGCTTCCACTCAATCAAGGTTCTCGACTGGTTCATTCTTCATTCTTAGACGCTGCACAGTATTTTTCAGGGCCATCAGCGTCAGCGGTAGTCATCACGTTGCACCATCTCTGTTGTCCTCAAGTTTTACGCATTCAGCAAGTAGTGTGACGTCACGCTAGAAGAGCCGCTGAAATACCTTCCAAAGAAGTTCTGTGCTTTTTGAGAGTACGAGCTTTCACTAGCATAGCTTACAACTTCATTGTTCTTGTTGTTTGATGAGCGTTCATAAACTCATAGATTCACTATTGCACTGTTGACTCAATGCTACCATCGTTTGTCAACACTTCATCACTCGCAACTTTTAACCGTAGATTTCGCAAAAATGAGATTTCAGACATGTCCTCTGTCTCTCTAAGAATTCAATTCGCTTGAATTGGTAATGTGATGCATGATGCTTCCTCAATGGGAACAAAACATGTTGGCCTGTAATTTTCCTTTGAATTCTGTAGGACTCGTAACAGAGAAAAGAACGATAGAATGGGTTTGGAGCTAAAAATGAAACCAAGTGGATCAATCATTAGAGTTTTTTGGCAAGTAAACGAACAAATAAACAAAACAGCAGGGAAGAAATCGTGAAAAATGGAGCGAATGTGTAATAGCTGATGATTTGCTGATTTGCTGATGATTTCAACAGGATTCCCATCTTCGCAGCTTAAAAAGATGGGGCAGATTGAGCTTGCAATTGCGAGGTGAACAGCAAATTATAGTGTGAACAAAGGCTTTCTTAACTAATCACAACGCCTCCTTGAGGAATGGGAAATGCATTCAGAACCCTTTCCTTTTCCACCACTCACTCTCTGAAAAACTGGTAATGTCCTCGGGAAGATTAAAAGGCTTGAGCTCGTCACGGATGTATTGGGTGACGTTGGCCATTCGGCCAACTGCAATAATAATGTGGAAACCATGAAAAGCTTCCAAACAACTACTATCATCATCAGCATCCGAAGTCTAACAAGGCGTATTGTATTCAGTTATGCCGACGTAATAAGAGCTTTAGATCAGCTTTGATTCAAATGAGGCGTACCTGTCTCCCTATCTGTCTCTCAGTGCGAGACAGGATAAAAAAATAGAGCAACAATTGGCGTATCAAATCACGGTATCCAGAACTCCTAGTTAAGCCAGATAACTGCATCGATTCAGAAGAAAACTTTGCTGCTCCGTAAGCTTCCCCCCCCCCCCCCCCCCCTTCCTAAAAATTCAGCATTCGAAGCGTCGAGCAAAACTGTCTCCAATCCGCTATGTCCACCTCACCTCATCCACCAAATCTGATATCATTCCTATCGCATGCAAGTCATTTCCAGTCCCTACAAACTGTTGAGACTTTCTGGCGCCACTCACATGTGACTAACTGTAAAATTCACACCTTACATACTATAGTAGGAACCAACAATACAAATTCTGACGCCGGGCTCTCCTTCCTGTGTCGAAGCTTGACCCTGCATTCCCCAAAAAAAAAAAGCTGTGTCTAAAAGAACAGAAGCTACTGAAGTCTAGCGAACCACACTCACATACCGAAACCCTTCTCGCGTCGGCCATGAGCGAAGTGTTGCTCAAGCCCTCTGAGTTCAAGTAACATGATCCACTCCTCTTTTGTTCCAACCTGACTGCGTGTTTTAAAAGCACAGTTAACCAGTTAACGATGATTTTGAGGTACCCGTTTTCATTCGAAAAGCGGAAATATAGATTGGGAATAGTTCATCTGTTGTGAAGAAAGCGAGAGAATTCGCCGATTTCGAGAAAAATATGACTCCTCAAAAATGGGGAAAATAGAGGTAGGACGAGATCGCCGTGACGGAAATAACATGGAAGGGGCGAGATTTCAGTTATTGCAATTGCGCAAAGAGCTGACTACATCAAGCCTGAACTGTACAGAACTGTCTCTTACTGTCGCCATGGGTCAGGACAAGTTGTTTGAACTTCCTACATGGATTCCCTTGTGATAGACGCAGCCTCTACAACGCCGGTGAAACTCGTTTGAGGATACACACGAGCCAATCTTTCCTCCTCAGTCTTTGAGCCTTTATAACTCCCTAATTTTGCCGTATTCCGACCCAATAGTGCCAGGGTGATAGATATTTCGGAGCAATTATTTGAACACGTTTTTGTACAGCATGTTTAACGTTCTTTTAAATAAAATTCATCGAAAAAAAAACTGCAAATTATGCCATCACTTAGTAGTAACAGTTATGATAATAATTGCGTAACTGAGAACAATAATGTATTGTTGATATGTCATGCTGGGACCTGAAGAGATAAATTGTTTATTAATAAACATTTGATAATATTAGGAAACCAAAAAATGACTACTGAGAGCCTCCTTCAAAACATCCAAGAGCGTAGAATCAGAAAAAAAAANAAAAAAAAAGATGAAAGTGTGTGGGGAACTGAGTGAAAATTGGTATTGCACACGTAAACAACAACGAGGAAAGGATACCGCAATTGCGCTTAAATGGATGGATTACTTAGAACTGCTTCCATAGTCCGCAATTTGGCCCGCGAGCGAGCGAGTGCGCCAGCCTTGGAATTATTCGGCCACCGGTATCGACAAAGATTCAGTCGTAAACGAGGGGCAAGCGCCGCCCCCGTCCAGCGCGCTCGCGGGCCAAATCGCGGACTATGAAAGTAGCCAGTGCAGTGGCCCTCAACGGATAAAGGGAAGGAAATTTACAACGTAGTGAAAGTTGAAATTAAACAAAATAAAAAGTAAATTTGATCAACAACTAGAAGATATGGAGTTTGTTTTGAATTGCCAAAATCATGCAAAATTGATAACCTTAACCGGAAAATGCCAAAGCATTGGATCATAACGCTCAAGAACATCAACAATGACAATATTGGAGTGATTATCGCTTTTCGAGTGCCCGCTGTCTGACGGAAGATTCGACCTCATCAGTAGAACAGCTCGTATACTTACAGTTATTATACACATATGTATTTGGGTGGACCATCTGAAAAATGAGGCATTGTGAATAGAAGCTGGGCACGATTTCACGGCTAGGATATTAACAATTCAATAATGAAGCACTAAACTCGATTACATCCGAGTTTTCATACTTGCACCAGTTGCTGTTTCGGAGCTGGCGATAGTGTTCTCCTGAGTTTCACTCTCCTCACGGACCGTATCCAACTGCCGAAAAGATGAGTTAAATCCACAAAATGAACGGTTGGGATTGTTGTTTTCACTGCAAGAAAAGAATAATAGCCAGAAGCACTTATAAGGAATGTTACAGTTACACCGATTCTACCAACGATAGAACCAGAGCTGAGACGGCTGCTTTCACACTTCAACAACGCTACCAACGTGCGACCGTCTGTCTGTTGCGTGCGTGCAAGCGACGGCGGCGCTAGCCACTTTTTTATAACACTGGACACCGATGGATCACGTGGCAGTGTTGTCAGCAAGTGGCTAGCGCCGCCGTCGCTCGCACGCTTGCAATGGAGACGCACGTCGGTTGCGTTGTTGAAGTCTAAAAGCAGCCACCAGAAACGCTGCAGCGAGATAAGAAAGGCTCAGAAAAATAACGAGCAATACATATTTAAATCACCTTGTCCCTGATCCAAAACTAACGTTGACTTCTTCGGATACCAGCGATGAGCAATTTCCTGCAAAGACGAATCGGCTTTGAACCCATGTTCATCAGAAAATCCACCTAACAAAAGGTTGAGCAAAGCAAGCCAATGTTCCGAATGGCAACCTTTCGGCAAATGGCTGCTTCTCACTCCAAGAAATCATTCAACCATATGACTGTTGCGTAGCTTAACAGCAGTTCAGAAAAATAAGGCAATCTGACTGTAAATGCGGTCCAACCTCCTTCAATTTTTCTCGTGTAGTTACGCAGTATTGGATTCTCAATGCATTTGTTGCTATGCCAATTACGACTGCCAACATTCAGCCTGTTGAGAAAACCATCTGAAAAAAATTGAGGTGCTCAAAAAGGGTTCACACGGACTGAACCAGGGATTTTTCGTGCATATAATGACTTACACTTGATATTCAGACGTTCGGTTGATGATTCTGTAAAAGAGTTGCGATCTGAAAAGTACCACAAAATGGAGGCGGCAGATAGAGAAATCTAATGATATCCATCATTTAGCCTAATTTTTGGTCAATCTATACAGACACGCCATAGACAATGGATCCAAAAGCTTCTGGACCAAAACAGACAAATACATTGAGGATGTAGAACAATTCACTGCACACCTCTGAAAGACCAACTCGTGGAGTTCACCGTGCTAACTCCATTCTTGCGGGAACTAGACTGATGCGATCGGCGGTATACGAATATAAATCCACGTATACAACCATAAAAGAAATAAATATAGACAGCCCACATAATTGCACATGGAAGAAGCACGAATCGAACACTTTCTGAAATTTTCGGCTATTTCCTAGAATCTAGGCATGCATAGCAACGGAACGAGTCCTACGTATCTGGAGCTATATGTAAGGCCTGATGCATTCGTAAAGAAAAAGAAATGCGGCAACTAAGCAAGATCAGCAGCACAACTTTTCTTACTCCGATATCTTTTCTCTCACAACTCTAAGGGTGCGTAAAAGAGTGCGTGACCTTTCCGCGGTTAATACTCACAGTTTACTCAATTTCAATAGATTGTCTGAACAAAATTTTTCCTACAAGGTATTCAGAAATGGTGTCACTGTGTCCAAGCTCTCCTTAAATATGGGAACCGCCCAAAAATCAATAATGTGGGCAGGCACTCATATCGTATAATATTGCTTATTTTGGCACGGTACTTGCTACAACTTAAAAAAAAGCAAAGAATATAAGCAAAACTTCATATCGGACTCACCAAAGATAAGGAATACGAAGTTATCATCTGCATGAGCTTTATTAAAGGTAAGGAACTGCTTCCGTATCACGCGCACGCTCCAGATGAAAAGACCGCCACCGAAGGATAGCTATGAAAAGAAGTTGTGTGGCAATCGATATATTCCAGCTTAACTATGTAGTGAAATACGGGGAACGTCTGTTCCTATCGTCGATGACATTAGGTCACGCCGCACACGTCGCGCACGACGCAGCCCACTGCGATTTCTGGATGGACACGTTGGAACCCTGCAAGGGTATTGTGGTTTATACCAAACCGCGTTTATAGCCGCGCAAGGGTATTTGAATGCAACTGAGAACGCACCATTAAGAAATGAAGATCTGCATGTAAAAGAAGCTAAGTGGAGTTAAATAGGGCGTGCTGAGTTTCTCTTCATGTAGAAATAAAAAAATCAGAAAATAGGGCAGTGAGGCGGCGATTTGAAGAGGATTCCCATATGGAAACGTGCAGAACCGCTGCAGCACCGAAGTTTTACTTTATTGTTCACCCATGGTAAAATAACTCAAGCCGCAAAACCTTTGCGCGATTTGAATGTTGCCAACTCGAATCGACTTGCGTGGCATGAACCAGTAGTTTCGTCGACAGTAGGAACGAAACGCATCCACGAAATACAACTCACAGATTTTCCTTTACTTATTAAAAATTTGTGAAGAGATTTAAAGATTCAGTAAAAAGGAATTGGATGAAAATCTACTCAGGAGGCAGGGCACCTCAGTCCGCAACATTAAGCGCAAGAGCGCAAGGAAGAAGAGATAGGCTGCTTCCAGACCTCACGATTCATCCGACCGTCCGTTCGTCCATCCGACGCGTGCGTGCTGCGACGGCGACGCCTGACCGTTGTTGACAACACTAAGACACGTGCCAGCGCTGTCAACACTACTCTAGCGACCGCCGTCGCAGCACGCACGCGTCGGACGGACGGACGGTCGTCGAAGTCTGAAAGCGGCCATAGCAAGTCGTGAAAGCCGAATGGTGCTCAGGAAATTTTAGCTTGGAAATACAATTATTTACTGTAAACCTTGGAAGAAGGAGCATCTAGTTTGTATATTACATTTTCAGCAAGAATAGAAAGCTAGCACGCTGCCGCTTACATTTTCGAATGGCAATGAATCGATGGTCACCTAGGTGTTTAACTCCTTTCCCACCGCACTTTTTTGCACAAGTCAGGCATATTAATCAACCCTGCCATCATACTCTCTTACGAGAGAAACTATATTCCCCAGCCAAAAATGGGCTGCTTAGTTTGATTACAGGTTTTCAAAGTCGGTACTCCTGTTCTCTGGCGTTCAATGTTAGAGACAAAGAATGCCCCTCGATTACATTTTAACTGGGATGAGACATTGGTCTGAATTGAAAAATCCGGTCCAATGAGAATTTGAACATTTTTTCAAATCCAAATCTGTCACAAGATCCATAACGGTCATCATATAAATGTGAAAGTCTAAAAAGATAAGAAAAACTACCATGCAGAGAAGAAAAGGAAAAAGAAACAGAGCTGGAGAAGTGCAGTGCACAGTTATTACGCTCTCCTGTTGCCAAACACCGTCCGTTGCTCGTAATGCAATCAAGCCCGTAATGGTGCTGCAAAATAAACAACTCTAAAATAGATGAATAGCAAGTAAGAGCTGCTTCATAATAGGCGGAAAACATTAGCTATTTGAACACTTTACTCCTTCGAGAAATCATTACTGTGACCTCTCATAAGGTAAAGCGATCAATTTATTGTAAGGCTGAAAAGTACAACATGGGCCACATTGATCTACCAAACAAGTGGCACTGGCTAAAGAACTACAAGCATCAATGAACACAAAGTTTTACCGATCACGGAGTTTCTGCTGCAAAGGTAAGACAAACATGGATGAAGACATAGGCCCGTATGCATAACGCCCGGGGTAGGGGAGGGAGAGGAAATGTTTGCCGAGGGCGCGAGTGTTCAAATGGGGTTTTTGCCTTTGCTCTGTGTCAAGATAGTTGCAATGGAGCTAAGTATTTTCCTATAAACAGGTGAAGAATCGACAGCCCTTGGTAATCATGTGATGTTTGTCTCTGCGACCTTACCTTAGCGAGAGCTCAGAGAAGCCCGACCCCATTGGCTCCCCGGGGGATGAATCTACCCCTAGAATAGAGCTGGGGCGCCGATGGTCATGTAGACCGCAACACTGCTATTCACTACATTATTCGACTGNGTAGTTGGTTGCAGCAGTAGAATAAAATCAGAGCAATACTTGACGAATTCGGCAGCAGAAGTCAGAGGAATAAGCGCTCAGTCGAATAATGTAGTGAATAGCAGTGTTGCGGTCTACATGACCATCGGCGCCCCAGCTCTATTCTAGGGGTAGATTCATCCCCCGGGGAGCCAATGGGGTCGGGCTTCTCTGAGCTCTCGCTAAGGTAAGGTCGCAGAGACAAACATCACATGATTACCAAGGGCTGTCGATTCTTCACCTGTTTATAGGAAAATACTTAGCTCCATTGCAACTATCTTGACACAGAGCAAAGGCAAAAACCCCATTTGAACACTCGCGCCCTCGGCAAACATTTCCTCTCCCTCCCCTACCCCGGGCGTTATGCATACGGGCCATAATTCTAGGTGCTTGGGTTGGGAACACTGATTCCACACATTTAGCACTTTAAAAAATTGTGAGTCAATCAAACATGTCTGCTCAGTTTGAAAGAATCTCCAATATGTGGCATAAATGCTGTAATATGTGAGTAGGAATACCTGTAAAAGTTAACAATCGAAAAAGTGAGACAATATTGTGGAAAATACAAGACCAACTTTTCAAACACGCTCGAAAAAACGCAGGTTAGCAAGAATCAACCAATATTTGAAATGAAACTGTTGATGAGTAAGAACAACACCACCCAACTGGAACCAAAGACAATTCTATCGTTTTGATTTATCAATCATGACATGCTTGGTCTCGCAGCTACGTCAGTGAGATTCTGAGTCACAAAGAGCATTCAAAGGAAAAGAAAATACAGCACGACAAACCTGAATAAGTAGAAGTAGCCCAGTCCTGATACAATGTTTCGTGCAGTATAGAGAAACGTAGGCCTGGGAGCTGTTACTTGCCTAAAAGGCTATGTAATGTGACCCAAGTGGATACCTTTACAGAATTGCGATACTCACGAAGGATCCAACTTCTGGCCAGATTTACTCCCATGGTGAACATCGAAGGGCGGAAACCCGTCAAGGCCAGGAAGGCCGAGGCCGCTGAGGTTATCTGCTCCTGCTGCGCACATAAACCACACAGACACAACCAGCAGAAAGAAGTGCAAGAAAACCAGAAGTTGCTAAAACAAGAGTTCGTTTTTTAACTAAATTACAAGTCCGATTGTTTCCGCAATCACGACAATGGATTTAGGCGAAAAGCTATACATATTTAACATCTAAGTGTGATTGCAAAGCAGTATAAAAGAGAGTAGAATAAAAAGATAGGTCTACTAATTGGCATCCAAGTCCCTCAGGAAGGCGACAAGACTGAAACATTAGCCGAATAAAAGCAGTAAATCTCGGCCAAGGTTCACAGTCTGAGACAAAGATTGTTCAATTACCACAACCTGCAGTAGGGTACACCTGTTTGTCTAGATAACACCCCTCAACCAGACGGGTTGGAAGTAGCTGAGTTGGAAGTACTAAGGATATATGCAAAGCGCATGCGCATAAATCCAGTTCTACGGGGTACAAAGCAGTTTTTGATCAATGTACACCCCAAAACAATCAAAGATTGTACACTAATCCTCTGTACACAAATGTAGATGACTACTGATCTACAGAAACTCCGCAAGGCATCTTTTTTGAAATGACGGTAGCCAAGATATTCACACAATAAAAGATCGCTTCATTCATTCTATTGGCAAATGTTAAGCTATCGGAGATTTCTTCGAAATGTCATGCGTTTCGTCAAAGATTTGGAGATGAATTGCTACATATGCCTATCACAGCAACAAAACAGTAGATTCAGGAAAGATTAGAGACTTCCTGATTTTGAAAAATGATCATGTTTTTAAGGTTTTTTGCAGGCATGAGAATCACAAGGTGTGTCAACATATACGAGAGCTATCTTTGACAACCTCGATAAGATTTCGAACCTCTAAATCGTATCTTTCACACATCAAATTTACTGATGGTCTTAGTGTCAAAGACCAATTTCAAACAAGGAAAATCCTAATCATCAGAAACTTCTCTACCGCTGCGTGAAAATGGCACTTATAATAAAATGGGTACTAAAGTATGGAACTCAAAATGCAGTATTTAGTCAAAAGTGGCTAAACAGAATACAGCAACCCCACCGCTTCCGATTAAAGAAACACTCAAATAGTGTATGGGTAGGCACAGCATACGTTCTTCCTCCTAATCGGTTTCCTACTTCAATGAATCGACAGGATAGTTTTAAATAACGAACCTTCACATGAAGTTGTCCAAAAAACCACAGATAATAGTCAGAGCGAGTTCGCAATCTGCCAACCGCATCCGCCTTTCGCATTGGACGAATTGTTGAAATAGGACTCATCGCCTCTGGGGTCGGGGAACCCATGGCTCACCGTATGTTCCTGAAAAAAAAAATCTAACTTCGAAGGCACATCTTCAAGCCATCTACAAATTAAATGAGCAATACAAAAAGATCGTCTTGCATTCGAACTCCGCGCTGGGATCGGTCAGAAAGCCTTCTCATTCGAGAAATAAAGTTTTGATCCTACACAATGAGCTAGCTCAACTTCAGGGACAGTTTCGTGGAACAAACAGACTGATTCCTATAGCTGTAAGCTGTGAAGACATTCAGCAACGATGGACGAGAATACAAGAATGATTCGCAACTATTTTGAAAGTTCGGCGTGCACCCAGTCTTGCTACTGCCATGCTCTCCTCGACAAAATTGTATTCCGTCGTTATTGTTTTCGCGTGATCTAATTTCTAGCCCATCATGTGAGGACCTACACCTCATTTTAGCATAGATTTGTCCCGGAGAGAACAATTTGATTCACCAAACCGAAGCTGGCTACTCCGTTGTTACTACTACATCTATGTTGTTCCACTAGTGGTGGCAAAGAAGAAGGTGAAAGGTTTCGAACTGTAGACCGCTACAGAAGACATCTCACAATCAGTCGCGGTGAATACTTGAAGAGTTTCGCGGTCAGATTGTTTACCAGCGCGCGTTCATTTGAATGGGGTATGTGTACGAACGTGCGTCCGAGAGTGCGCGCGGCAAATTGCGCGGCGAAGTTCGTAATGGTTTGAACGAGTTCGGCGCCTGTCATTGGGGCCCAAATTTCAAATGGAGTGGATATGGAGGATCATCCGACCCTACTAAACTACATTACTTCAAGTTTGTGCCCCGAAAATCGACGCCGCAGTCGTACAAATCGTCACGAACTTTGCCGCGCAATTCGCCGCGCGCACCCTCGGACGCACGTTCGTACCGTCCCCCATTTGAATGCAACCCGGAGCGCGCCAATGTCGCAGCGATCTGTCACGTTGCTGGTTGACAGTCCTACTGTAGTTAGGTGATAAGTAATAGAAGATTCTCGACTAACAACGTGGGAGCCGGGTGTAACACAGAATAAGAGCAGAACCGGACGAGTCGTTACACCGGAGAAATCAGCTCTCTCCAATAAGTAGAGCGCCTAATCTTCACTGTTACGGTAAGTACGACTCGTCCGATTCTGCTCCTATTCTACGTNTAATAGAAGATTCTCGACTAACAACGTGGGAGCCGGGTGTAACACAGAATAAGAGCAGAACCGGACGAGTCGTTACACCGGAGAAATCAGCTCTCTCCAATAAGTAGAGCGCCTAATCTTCACTGTTACGGTAAGTACGACTCGTCCGATTCTGCTCCTATTCTACGTTGCAGCCACGGGAGTCGGCATTTGGTTTCACGTCTAATTACTTCGCACCTTCCTCGCCCATCCACTCACTCGCCTGTGGGGTGACCTCGCTTAAAGGCACTGTTCGCGATGATTCAATGGGCGGGTGTGTCGATGACGTGTCCGCCTCTAATTAGATGTCACATCAGAAAGTCTGACGTGGCGTCGAATGAGAGGCGGACACGTCATCGACACACCCGCCCATTGAATTATCGCGAACAGTGCCTTTAATTGGTTGGCTGCTGACCTCTCTGGCAGCCTGAGTGAACTGATATTGATCTTATGGATTGGAAACTTTACCATTATTATTACCAGTCGGATCGCCCAGCTAACGCCGGGCTCTCCTCCTTCTTATGTAATGCCCGACGTAGCCGGGCATCCCCCTTTTTATGTGTTAGGGACATAGATTGGTACAAACAATCTGACATTTCCTTCCGATCAATATAAAATGAAACTATTTCATTCTAATAATGACTAACACTTTTCATGACTAGGAATCTTTGTGACCGGAGTTCATACATTGCAGAAATTTTGACCCACTCAAAAGAGTCAGACTTAGTGGGACGGTCGAAATTGCTTCACATTCGAGGAGAGAGAAATTTCCTTACCTTACTTTGCCAACGAAAATAGCCTTACAGCCTTGAATGCCTTACAGAAGTATAATGGCACCAGGTCCATAATAAATATGCGACGTGTATTTCTTTAAAACTTCCGTTTCACTTGAGAAGTTATAATTCAGTATGAACCGTACTTGCAGTTAGTTCAGTGAGTATCGCATCTTCCCGGAAGAATCTTCTAGGGGAGTTCAAAAAACGCATGTTTGAAAAGACACCGTTCCGGAATTTTGGTTCAAATTCGGGTTACATTTACCAATGCAACCTCTTCAAAAAAGTTCTAATTCTGCAGAGAGCGTCAGCTCCTCACCTCACCACACCACATGGATTAGCCAGAGCCAGGGATGCCTTTAGTTCTGCAAGAATTTGAATTCCGCTGCGCAAATCTGCGTTGATGGTCGTTAGGGATATTCACGTGAGGCATACCTCTAAAAAACTTCGGATCAACTGAAGAACTGTTAATCCTTTCAACCACTCTACCCAAATGCTCTTTCTGGGAGCATCTACAATCAACACAATCAGTTCTGTAAGAACCACCATTTTCAATTGGCACTTACCTGGGAGTGTTCCGAAAATGGTATTTTTGATGTACATACCGTTCCGAAATTTTCGCTAGAACTCAACTGCCAGATTTACCGAAGATCTGTTCCTTGCTAAGAGATTACCAAAATCTCATGAATAAATGGTATCGCGTTTTAATTTCATTCAGCTGTCAGTTGCAACAAAACTAGTTCAACCACCAAAACATGGAAATCAGCAGGACGGGTCATGGTCTTTTGATAGTAGTGTTATCAACAGTCGAGAACAATAATAAAAACCATTCGAAATTAGTTTAAGGTTTGTTGGTCTAGGTTGATGAAACATGGAGAAAGCATCGTGGAGCTAACAAAGAAAAGAGGGTAACCATCAACGGTGTTAAGATCCTGAGATCCTTAGTTGATGATACTTCTCTCTACAGAAATGCTGGAGGGGGAAAGGGCAGTACGTAATGGAACTCAATATGTTGTGTCGCTTACGCTGCGATAAATAGATTAAAAAGAAAATGACGGGTCAAGCGATCGATTCCACTTTGCCTTGGGAAAGAGGGGAATTTTTTTACTGCGGGTTATTAGATTGAAATACTGAAATGGGAAGGGCGGTGAATGAAGCAAGAAAAAATGAAAAAAATGAAGGGGAAAGCCTCGTACACTGTAAGTCCCAAGGTCGCATTACTGGCTGGCGTCACTATTTACTCACTACATTCCGCAGAACTCACCCCACTCCATTAACCTACCCATCCATTTACTGTTTATCTGTAAAGAGGGAAATGTGAGAGGTTCATTGAGGGAATGGGTTTCCATATCACTACCTTTATCGTAATCATAAACGTTCGCGGACGGACACACCGACATACCGACAAACACCCAAACCGACAAACCGACACCCCAAGCTTCTGCTTTATAAATGAGAGATTATTATTATTATTATTATTATTATTTGTAATTATTACACATTTCAAAATAATATACATAGGGACAATACAAAAAAACCAAAATCTTCATATTATAAGGAAACTATGTGGCCTTATCGGTGACGTATCTAGACCTTTTCCTGCAGGACTGCTCTATTTCCTGCTCACTTTGTCCATTCCGGTATATCTCTTCGAATCTGCAAAAGCAATAAAATGTAATGCATCTATATTTGTGCGGCACAAAAGCACCTACAGACTTATTTCTTCTGCTATCTTTGCTCTTCTTTCCTGATCTCGTTTCTAAAGTTTCTTGGCGTTGTTCGGGTAATGCATTGGATACAATAGAGAAAGCATGACCGTGAGCGTGATAATAATCAAAATGCAACCTCTTGTAGGCGTGTTAATGCTGCCCTCTCTTCGTAGTTGAACTTGCGAAGAGCTTCAATGAGTACGCTCAGAGGCGGATGGTCCACGTCTATGAGTACTGTGAGCCGTCTGAAAAACTTATGCATCATATACTCAAAAGGTTCTAGGGCTACTGATTACCTATGAAACGTTTCTGCTAAAATTGTGGTCCGCAGTTCCTCAAGGTCCCATTTGCACCAGAGAACTTTGTAGAACCCTTGCATCCATGTTTCTTGGAAGTAGTGCAGGAAATCTTCACATTTCCTGTAAGCGTTGTGGTCTGTGAGGATGAGAGGAGCTTGGAGGGCTCTCACCCGTTCTACCAGTGGTTGAGGAAGAAACGACACTCCTGAAAACAAAAAAAATTAATTGTTTTTGCGTCAGTCAAGCGAAGACTTTCTTTCTTCACGTACCTTTCACTATTTCCCACCATTCCGAGAGTGGCTCTTCTCTTTCTGGTCCATGGATGTATCTCCTCAACCCCAAATCTCTTTTACGATTCAAGGCCTGCGCAAGGTAAAAGGCGCAGTCTTCCACAGATGCCCTTGGAAGACCTTGCGGGCAGCTCTTATAGCTACTTTTTCAAAGTCTAGGACCACTCGCTTAGGTGCATCCCCAGTGATGCTTCCTTACAACATTTCGGAAATTTCCACATAAGTTCTCTTCTTTTTTTTCGCTGTGATGCAATAGAGGAGTGGTTTCTCAACTCCCTGAGAGCACACGCGATGCACGCAGTAAAGCTGTGCCTGGTATCCGGGAGTCTTGGGGTGTAGCGAGTGCATTCCATCCGCCACAATGCTGTGCAGTCCTGCTTATCAAGGCTTCTAAATTAAACGTTAAGATATTAACTGCCGCAAGAGATTCTCATATGCTATAATAAGTCATCTAACCTTAACGGTAGCAACGGAGAAGTAATATGTAGCTCGGAAGTGTGATGTTACAGGAAAATCGAGCTGTCGCGCAAACTTCGGAATTCCAAGGGGACATGCTCCATGTTAACTGATCTATTCACCTATACGCCATTGCTGCTGGACCAAGAAGAATATCATAGGATCACCTTAAAGGCACAGTTTACGATAATTTTGAGGTACCCGTTTTTTGGCGGAAATGATAGATCAACTTCAGAATAGTGCGATAATAACGAAGAAAGCGCAAAAACGACGAATAAAGAGAAATACAAAGCTTCAAAAAAGAGGAAAAAGGGGGCTGGACGAGTTTCACAGTGGAAAAACGGCGGCTAAGGGAAATGCGACGCAGCGTCCGCAATTGCACACAACACACCCAAACCGCTGCTTTTGCCTTCTTTGTTGGGCAAACACTGGAAAAACAGCTGATTTCGTGCTGAAGGTTGGATCTTGACGCGAATACTTGACTCTGTGCAGTCTACATCTCGTATGAGTGACATCGATCGAGGGGCGGAAAAGCCAATCACGGTTTGCACTATGCCCTGGACGTCAAGATTGGGGGAGCGGGTCCCTTTTACTACCCCGGCGCTGAGTATTCCTAAGAGAAGAACTCAATGACCATTTTCATCGTGAACGGTGCCTTTAAGAGAATCACTAATTAGGAACACCTACTTTGCCAACACCTTTCTTCGAGCTTGATATCCTGATCGACGTATTGAAGCCCTGATGAGATCTTCCTCCTCTTCTGAAGTAAGGTTGAATAACAAAATCAGTTGGATTTAGTAAACCAAAAGAATGCTCGAAAGTTTCTTTCTTTCCTTTCCTCTTTCTTCAATGTATTTCTCAGGAGTACATACGTGATTTATGCTACGGGGATCACTCAGAAAAACGTTCCCGATGACCTTAAATTGAAGTTATGAAAAGCTGCAAGTGTTTTCCTTAGGTCTCTTCACCCACTTCGATGCGTTGTGCTGGTCCCTCATCACGCCCTCTTTTTCGTTCCTCCAGGCAGTGAGCGCACATGTAGCTTTCACTGTTTTTGCCCGTGTGCTTCTTGTAGAACGCTAGGGAAGGTGTTGTGCCTGGAATCCGATAAATTAGTACGTGATGCTTCCCTCCCTTGCTTACCTGCCTTTCGCCAACATATGTTTGCACATGGGTGTGCTCCGAATTTGAGGTAGCTGTAGCTGCCCCTTGGGTTTGTGAAAACGAAGGGTTTTGAATCACAGAGCTCACAGTGCTTTCGGGTGCTGAGGATAAATAAAAGAAATTCGGTGCTACAGCACTCGGGGTAACAGAAAGTGAAGTTGCAAGTGGTGGGAGGGGTGAAAGTGCATAAAATAGGGGTGGTACAGTGTATGGTGGTGGGTTAGCTAAAACAGGGACTCGTAGGAATAAGAAGGACAACAGGAGCAGTTAATCCTGAGTTGAAGCCGGACAAGGCGCTGTAGTCGAATTCAGTGTAGGACAAGTGAGACATCGTGCTCGTGCGATGACAATCACACTACACAGGTGATTATGATTATGACGCTTTCATCCGCATGTTTAAATACCTACAAGTGACCTACTGGCGGCGTCCAAAGAAAAGGGTGTAAAAATGTATGGTGTAATATAGGGTGTAAAAAAACTGTAAAAGCTCACTAACTAGTTTGCTTGCAGGCGTCTTGTGAGAATGAATGCTTACACGATGTGATAAATCCTTTTCCCCATCCTATGATCTTTCCATTCATTACTTTGGCCTCCACAGCTTTCTGTGTAGTATTATCAATGTGTTGCACAATTATTTTTTTGTTTTGCTTTGTTTTATTTTTCATGCTTCTAAAGTTTCTCAATCATATAATCGATATTGTTACTCCTGAGCATGGTGACCTGGCAGAGAGGTCAGCAGTCAACGAATTAAGCGAGGTCGCCCCACAGGTGGGTGTGTGGATGGGCGAGGAAGGTGCGAAGTAATTAGACGTGGAACCAAATAGACTTACCCTTGCAGCCACCGGCGCATTGTTAGTCGACAGTCTTCTATTACTCACCACCTGACTTCTTCAGTGGTTTATTTTTGTAACAGTCGGATCGCTGGGTTCATCCCAAGCTGCGCATTTCCTGTTACGATTTACGAAATCTATTAAAAAACAACATTACTAGGGTGAAAATGTAGTTGGGCAGGAAAGGGGGGACGTCTGTCCGCACGTCCGTCGAAACTAGGTCATCCGCCCACTTTGCGCACTCAGCTCACTACCATTTTGAGAATTCAGTAAAGTAACACTAAGTCGATGGAGCGAAAGATTTGCATTGGTCCGCGTTATCTTCTCTTTGAGCTGATTGTTGTGGACTAAGCGCAAATCCTATGCCCCACTTACGGGTACATTCGCCAAGTTCTCAATGGCCGCGGCAAACTGCTCGATGAAATTCGTGGTGATTTAAACGACGCGCCTATCATCGTGGCGGAGGTTTCAAGTATGTAGACTGGATAAGTAGGCCAGTTGAATAGGCGCCAGTCTAAATCACCACGAATTTCGCCGCGCAGTTTGCCGCGTCCATCCAGAATTGGACATGTGTTCCGTCCCCCACACCTCCCATTGATCTCCTCTACTATTATAAATTTACGGGCAAGCCTGCAATCCTGTATATGGGAAGCTTCCAATTGATTCAATGTCAAGAACCTTAGCGCTCATCCATCTTGTCTCAATTACTGCTAGAATATAGGGTTTTATACCAACCCAAACCATAGGCAAAAGATAGATTCGTTCTAGAACACTGCGAGTTCCTACTTCATTCCTTAATACCTTTGATTTTGTCGACCGGCTCAGCTTGTCAGGTGGAAGGCGTTGGTTGTCTTCTGTAGTGCTGGACTCGCGCAAGTTCATGTTCATTTCGCCGTACCCTTCTGCAGCGTTGCAGTACTTCATCTGGTGTAGATGCAGTCATGATCACGGTATTTTAGATTTTCTGTGATTGTAGCTAAAAGTAGGAAAGGTGAACAGCTGACACCGAACGTGGGACGCGTGAACTGAAAGGCGGTTTGGAGATATCACGCATACACAAGCAGCGTGTTGCATCCCGATCTCGAATTTGTATTTGGACTTGAAGGAACGCCTTTTCTACATCGCTGATTATTGCGATATTTTCTCTACGTAGTACTTATGTCATTGAGGCATGGGAAGTTTTTGAAGTGCGCGGAGGCATCGAAAACAACACGAAGTTCAGTGGTGTCTTTATTGGTGTGGATAATGAACGACTGCGTCATCTGGTTTCGTGTTCTCGTCGACCTTTTCGATCACTCCTTTGGCCAGTTGGCGTGGAAGACGTTGTCATAATGTTTCAGTAAATCGGGCTGGTGTTTGAATTTTGACTTGCTGGATTCTTTTGAGTCCTAGCTATGGCGCGATTGTCAGAGAGCCCTTGGCCTCATTTTTCCATGGTGGATGGGCGTGGTAACTCTCTTCATGCCTTTCCACACTGCCTTGAAATTGTTTCCAGGCTCTGTCGTTGATCGAACAAATCACTTGCGTGTGTGGCCCTGTATATTCTTCAGTTCCTGAAGATTCGAGGTTCCAGTATTGATCCCACAGTTTGCTCTCGTTGCTGTCTTCGGTTGCACGTGATCTAGGCATGTTTAGCTGCGTGTCCTAAGGAATGATGGATCTTATCCTGCCGTTGGCAAGATATCCTATTCTTGATTCTATAAGTTGTAGCCCTGATGGAAGAATGTCTTCGCATCCGAGTCCTCTGTCAAACAATGTGAACAGGTCGCTAAAGCCCAATAGAATGGGAGTTTGCAGGGTTGTAACTGTGGTTGAATAGAAAATTGAATGTTGTGTTCTTGAGGGTACTTTCCATCTTGACCTTGAAGTGCAGTCCGTTTTACTTCTCCTGTGATGAAGTCGATCTTTGCTAAATCGAAATAGTGTTGGACATCTTGACGGTCTTCGACTTTAATTCAAGTAAACTCACAGGCTTGTTGTTTCGGGAGCTGACCGAACGTGTGGGTTGTTGGCTGTACTTGGCCTGTCTTACTAACTCCTAGATGCTCTGCGTAGTTACTAGTAATGAACAAATGTTCTGCACCTGTGTCCAGAATGATGTTAACATCTTCAAGCTGTTTCTTCATAAATTACCATATGGACTCTTTTTGAGGTAAAATGATGTGATCGCCTAATTTGTACGATGTTGCATTCTGCTCTGCGACGATTTTATTGAAGTTCCGATTCGCTGCTCTTTTCATTGCAACGTGAAGTTCTCTACGTGTACCTTCTGCGGAACACCCGCCAGCGATGGATGACGATTTGATTGCCATGAGTTAAGAGATTTCTGACAATTCGAAGGATGGTGACTTTTCCTCGCACTGTCGACATGCACAGCGACTGCAGTTTTTGGTACGGTGTTTTGCGGATCCGCAGTTGTGGCAGAGATTTTCCCGTCTCATGAATTTGGTTGACGGTGGGGTATATTGGCAAGTTATTGGAACATGGTCGCTTCCACTGCAGCAGAAACAAGAGTATGCTCTTGCGCCTCTGTCACCTTTGATCTGGGATGTTCTCACAGTAAATGTAGTGCTTGCAATTGATTCTTCATTTTCAGTCATGACTGCTTGTATGTTTTCTGCTTGAGTTTTTATTTCAAAAAATCTTGTAGTCTTGTCCAGTCTTGTTCTGATAATGCCGCTTTTTTCTTTAAAACAGCCCTCAAAGTTTTTCTGTTGAATTTCGAAAGAATTGTTCTTCGTGTCTCCTGAGTGTTGATGCTCTCGTTTCCGTTCAAGTTGAGCAGTGATAGGGGAAATTCTATCCAGTGTGCTCATTTGGTATGGAGTTGTACGCTTTTCGGTTGTAGGCTTCAAAGGTGTTGTAGCAGATGGTTGACAACTGACTCTTTGTTGTCATATTTCCCCTTCAAATTTGAATAGCGACGTCGTAGCTGTCTGCAATGATTAGAAGCTATTTAACCGTATCCTTTTGTAGAAAGAAGATGTAAAGAAAGCTCAATCAGACGGTTCTGATCTTTGAAATAGGTTGTTTGAGGTGTGCTTCGAGTTTTTCTCCAATTTTGGCTATTTGTTTTTTGTCGAACCATTGTTGCATCTTATCAGGTGCCTCCATGTAGCTGTCAAACGCACTGTGCAGGTTTTTCATTTTGAGGTTCAGTTTTTTATATTCCTGTTGTAACGAGCACAACCGATTAGGACGAATCGCGCTCTCATTACTGTCATCCGCTGAATCGATTGGGGTTCCACTGAAAGTTTGATTGCTTTCCTACTAATTTCACCGCCATTTCGAATCAGGTGCTGATCTTGTTGAAGCGACTGGTGTCCTGACAGGAAGCTGGCTGTTGAGAAGATGAACCTAATTTGAGCCGAGGGGACTCATGTATGCTTCGACCGATGCACTATTTGTATCACCTCGCCGGTTCACTAGTCGTAGCGGGTAAATGGAGAGTGAAGCGAAGGATAGGAATAATTCATTGCTATACAAAGATGGGTTTATGTACCCGCCAACAACAGTTTTACCATCAAATCGGTGGTTCAATCATTTTACCACTCTCACACAAGCGCTGGTTATCTTGTTCACATAGAGGGTAGTCCACATAACTGAATAACTTCCACTTAATTTCTTTACTCCCTTCTGATATCCATCGCGTTCCTCGTCCCCACAATGTACATACTGACTGTGAAAAGATCAACGAGGCCTTTGATGGGCTGTTTAAGGAGCTTGTTGTGTGTTGGAACACCAACCCCAAGGTGCAGCTCAGCTGCATACTACCATTTTCATCGTAAAATCTTATTTCCTCCGTGACTTCTCCGTGACTTTTCCAGACAACAATAATACGATTTTCGCACTACCTTGTCTCCTGCCGAGTGTTCGAATGTTTTCGAATCACCACAGACACCAAAATCTGGATTATATTCTTCAGACATTTCGGGATTTTGAGGGTGTTTTGTTCGCAGTCGACTCTAAGATACCTTATGCAACCTGTTACTGTGTGGTATGCTTTTATGGCAAAGTGGGTGACTGCTTGAAGGTGGAAGTGATCTGCTCTATGCGTTGTCCAATTTGTAAATTCGAGTACATAAGGGAATCAGGTCGTCTCTGAGTGTTCCGGTCAAGGAAAATCTTAATTGACTGGCTGGATCACGAATGCAAGCTCTGTATTACCTCTTTTCTCTCTTTATTGCATACTTGCTGCGCTGCTTTTGCTTCATTCTGTTACGTTCCTTGATACGCGACGTCGCTCTCGCCGTGAAGCGACGATTCACTCGACTGTATCACATCTCGGAAAGCAAGACTGTACCTGGGAGAACTATCAAACAACAAACACGAAAGAAGTCAAGTCAATATAGCGTGAAGAAAGTGAGTGGAATAGTGTAAGGTCCGGCTTACGAAATCCAACCAAGTCTTGTTTCATTTTCGACAGCGGGGTATGGATCGACAACCTTGCCGCAGATCGTCGGGCGACATCGCTTGAAGCCGAAACGTCGCCATAGCGCGTCGATCAAGAAAATCGAGCACCGAGGCTCGATGCTCTTGCGTCAACGACGCTTGGCGCTGTACTATAAAATTTTCACTGACGTCGCGGCGGCACCAACTTGTCGCTCTTTTCAGACTCAGCGTGCCATTTAGAAAGTTCGAATTTTTCCTTTCAACTGCTTTCATAGTAAGCGATTCGGCCCGCGAGCGCGCCGGCCGGAGGCGGCCCTTGCCCCTTGTTTACAACTGGATCTTGGTCGATACCGTCGGCCGAGTAGTCCCCCGGCTGGTGGTATAGACCAGGATTCAGTTGTAAACAAGGGAAAAGCGCGTCATCGATGGCGCGCTCGCGGGCTAATTCGTGAACTATGAAAGCAGCCTTGAGTTGTCCCCGCAACGCAAGGAAGCATAACAAGAAACTTCACTCGTAGAAGGCTGCAGTTTTGAGAGTTCAGCTGCAGCTCTACGAGCTGCAAACAGTAGATATGCGCGTCAACGATGGTGCTGTCATACAGAACATCGTAGGGATGCAGACCTTCCGCTTTTGAACTAAAGCATTCGCCAAATTTAGAGCACGATTTTCTCCGATGAAGCCAACCTATAGGTAAGGGTAACAGCTATTGATCTGCACCCATCCGCTGACGCTACCTCATAGGGTTTACGTGGACTACCCAAGTGTCGTCCCCAGTAAAAAACTGGCGAGCCTGTCGTAACGGCAACTTTTGAACAACAAACTTGTGCAGATGTTCACATGTCCGCAGAACAGTACACCTAGTTCGTGTGTGGGTTCCACCTGACACCTCTTATGGTTTCTCCATGGCTAACAATAAAGATTCATGATCCTTTCTGAGAACTGTATGTCTGTAGAGTTTGGGAGTCATTAGCGCAAAGGTCGCTTTGACAGGGCACTTTGATAACACCTAAATCTATGGCCACTCGAATTACCGAAGTAGTCATTGGTCTTCAAAGCTACATATATCTCCCTTCGCGGAACTTTTGAAATCAACGACATTACGTCCTTCCGCTCACCCCATCTGCTCTTTTTGCATCGCAAATGTTGTGAGAGGTTTTGCCTGCTGAGTGTCCTGTCCGGAACTTTGTTTACTCGTTTCAAAAATTTTGCGAATACTGCTCACCAAGAAAAATTCATCTTTTGAATTAATATCTAAAATAGAAGGTATGAAAGCAAGAGTTTGAGCACACTGGTATCATGGAACATCCCATCTTTTGGCATTGTAAACGTAAAGCCAAGTGGTTCTTTGAAAGTTTATTGATTTCTGCTTTTTGCGTGTATTGTGTGCGACTATAGTTCAATGTCAGCTCAAACCAAAGTACAGATATCACAAACAGAGAGTGGTTGCATTAAAATAGAAAAGTAACATTAAAAGTTGAAATTTCTGAAGGATTACAAATTCTTCGTCAATAGCGTATTGCTTCAAACTATCATTTTCACTGCATTAATATAAGCCGATTACGAAATTTTATCGTCAGGAAAGTGAAGTCATGGTGTCAATAAATTGCTTTTCAAAATGACTTTTATGATTGATAGTGAACAATTTGTGAAGCCTGGCATAGTTTCTCACTAATATCTAATCAACTGGTAAATAAAGGCTTCAGAAAGCATAATTAATTAACAGGACCAACATCTTGGCCGTCTAGGGCACCGGCTACTTCACGTGCCATACGACAGTCAAATTCGGTGAGTTGCATGTTCACGAGGAAGTTGAGGAAGAAGAACCACAATAGAAGAGTGTATAAGGAGGATATCAGGTAAGCACTCCACGGTGCAGCCACACTTGAAGAGCAATTTGAAATACTGTACATGTGTGAAAACGACTCGAGTAATGACTCCAACAGCATGTAAAACTGGAAATAAAAGAAACTTAGTCTGAGTCTTCCCTCATTTGATCTGATTATAATTATGTTAGGCTCTTCGTCAGCACACGACAACTTCTATTTGGACCTACACTGCAGCATTTATCACCCCATTTACGAATACGTTATCGCATCTAGGCAGCGCCTTGCCAAATGAACTTAAGAAGCAAACAAAAGTTCTGGCAATTGGAAGCAGCTGGAAGCGCTGGCTGTGGTAGTATTACGAGCAGTTCAAGCTAAAGTGGTGCATTAAACACCATTAGGCTATCCACCAGAGCTTTTCACCTTCGCCATGTGGTCATCGGGCTACAACTGCGTCAAATATGGATAAGTATGAACTGATTCGCGATAAGTCGGAATTCCGCTCGCTTCGGTTCACTCGAATGTGGAGCTAAGTCTAAGTTGTCATTTCTGAACCCTGACACACGAAGTAGAGCATTCAGTTATGTAGTCCCTTTGAGCATGAAAGGAGTGTTGTCGAATGCTGCTAAACACATTTCATAGGGTAGGGATTGAAGTTTACTGAAGTTGAAATCTGAAGTTGTGGAGTGGTGGCTTAGTGGTTAAAGCGGCACTTCCTTTACTCGTCACTAAGAATTATTACATCCTGATCAATTTAATGTAACTCGATTCAGAAAGGCTCATAGTTTATTATTAGGGTGCCCGGAAAGTTTTGAGAAAATTATGCCTTTCATCTGTAAAAACATGTTGCTCCCAAATGCGCTAAAGTATGACTGCAAATTCGGTAGCAGTGAAAGAGCATTGTTGATACATCATTACTTTAGCTGATCGGTATTTGACGCGGTCGTTCGGAGTAAGTAATTGTAGATTGAAGAATGCGCCATTGATACGACTACCGGAGCCTACTGCTTAACCATCACGAAACTGATCGCTTCGATAAGCAGGATTGAAATGTGCTATGGTGACAAATTGGCAGCAGTTACCCGTATTCGTACCTACCATAGGATTTGAAAAATAGGCAGGATTTGAAAAAAGGCGATCTCTGCACCGCAATCCATCATTTACGACGTTATCCACGATGTTCTAGGCGAAAATCACTTCTAAAGCAGGACTCTTTGCATATAGCGCACATCCTTGACTGAGCAGGAGCATCGAGGGGAAACTGTATGTTTCAGGTAACAGAAAAATCGCAAGATTATTCTGTTACCGGCTGAGAGAGAGGTGGTATTCGAGCCCCCATTTCGCACCGCGCACAAAGAAACTTTCGATTGTGATGGATAATGCTTGTTCACCCCGCATGAGGACGTTCATGGATGAGGTCGGGAAGTCAAGTAGGTGGCAGATGAATAAACTGCCTCCCGGCTCTCTTCACATTGGAAGAATAGCATAGATGCCCTGTCTGGTGGATGGGGAGACATCGTGACTAAGAAGAGCCACTATCTTCATTACTGATCTAAGCTCATTGCTGTAGTTGCTTTGTTTTGAAGAAAACAACTGAAATTCTCAATATTTTCGGACACCCTAATAAATTACACCCTAATAATTTGTTCTCTATGATATGAAGACGAAGTTCCTGTCTAGGGAGAAACTTGGTCAAGAAACTGGGAAACGATAAGCAGGCCTGGCATAAGCCTGCCAGAGGCTTCTCAGATTTTCTGGTAACTAGCGCTGTGAGTGGAAGCATGTTACATGGTGATAAGGATGTGACTGCGGTTTTCGAGATCAGGAGTCGGTCACTAGGCCAAAAAGCTTAATTTCGCTTCTGATTTTAAGTCACTAAAATAGCCTTTTCTTGCTTGCAATCTTTTTTCTATTCACGAAAACCCACGATGAAGCCCATAGGGAGATATGATTGCGTAGTTTGCGCTGCCGCAATAAAAAAGCAACAGCCAACAGATTAGATACATACCAAAGAAAACAAGCACAGTACGTGCAACAGAGTCGGATTAAAGATCAACGTTTCCGAGATGCGAGGCCAGAACTTCATCAGCAATCCAGTGACGAAAATAGAAGCAAGCGACAGTATAGGAAATGATCCGAACATTACCCATCGGATGACATAGTGAGAGATCTAAACAAGGCAAATGATTGGCAGTCTGAGAATTATTACGTCGCTTCAAAATACGCTGGGATTTTCAGTTGTTTTGGCTTGGTCACATGCATACATATTAAATATGCTACCGTTAACATACAGCGTGTCCCAACATTATTGGTGCCAAAAATAGAAATTCCTTCAGGCTGAGCTTGCCGATCGATTTCACCTCTTTGGTTGTTGATTGGATCTATGGGTATGTTTTCTAGCAAACTGCATAGTCAACAGGGTAAGATTCCTGATACCTCTGAAGCAACGATGGCTCATCCAAGGCGACCTGCAACAATTCGCATGCACAAGGCAGGGCGTCAATGAAGGACATAGCGAAATTTCTTGTAATTCCGGTAAAAACGGCACAGAGAGCCATCAAACGATTTGAAGGAACAGCTTCACTCAATGACAAGCCGGGAAGAGGAAGGAAGTTCAATGTTGCCTTGGGAAGGATTATCGGAACAATGCGCTCGAGAGTCGATCGCAACCCTTGGCGGTCAATTAGAGGAATAGCGAGAGCTAGATACACCGAGGTCTTCGGTGGGACAGATTGTTGAAGAGAAGCTTTATTGCCTTCCCCCCCNTATATACAAAAGTGCCTCCTTATTCCAGACGAAAACAGGCATCTAGGGTCGAAAAATGCAGGAAACTGCTGACTCGCTAATTAGTAAAGACTTTCACCTACGAAATATTCTGGACATGTTAAAGCCCTGGTTCGATTCTTGCTTTGGGAACAGTCGGTGCTACTGTTGTACATAATAAAAGTAATTTTCATTGTACATAATGTAAGTGAATGCTTGTATAAATTCAATTGTCATTCGTTGCTTGCAACGTAAAATACATTGCATAAGCGCCCATATAATCTACTTTGGGACACTCTGTATGCAAAGCAGGTACATGAGATGTCGGCTTGTCGGATTGTAGGACCGTCTTTGGGCCTCGTCTGCAAAACCCTAACGAATAAGAGTTAGTGATATAATTGACAAGTGGGGTCGCCCGGCTAACGCCGGGCGCTCGGTGCTTCTCCTTCCTGTGAGAAAATTGCTATGCGTAAGTAAAACTCCGGATTCTCCTTTTTCATTGAGAGCTCTACACCCTCAGTGTAAGCTCCGAATCAGGAGAGATTTTTTCTGTGAGCCATCTTCGCTGTGTCCGAATAGAACATCGCATAATATCACAAATGCGATTACTTAGAGAAAAAAGTATTCAGAGACTTCATCGCGGCTGAGTCTACTATGTTAGCTACCATCAATGTTCCCAGCCGACTCCTCGTGTCTTCAAGTTTTAACGGTCTGGGTCGGAACTAACAGCATAAAAGTCAATGGTGTATCTCATTGGTCCCTGTTTGTTCACGAAATCGAGTGGGACGACAACGTTGGTGGAACCGCAGAAAGTTGGTTTCTCGGTTGGGATCTTTTAGTGTTCAAGTTTCTGGGAGCTGTTGCCACTGGGCTAGCGCGTTTGGGCGCTTGGTCGGGTAAGCCACAGATCAGGAGCTCCGAACTGCTATCAGGTCCTGAAAACGAACAAACCTGTACGGCAAAACAGTGTAAAAACATTATACAATATGCCCAGGTTCCAAGAAGACCGAACATGAAAGGAACTAACAGTATTTATTCACGCCCAGCCCTTTAGGGCGGAATTTAGTCTTGCAACATTACATCAGTGTTCCTATCCTGCCTCCTGTATTCCTTCCAAGATTGGTCGCTCTAGGTCCACTCTGACATTTCTCTGCAAGCCCCGCCCCCTGAAGGAGTTATGAGTTTCTGGCCAAACCGTGGGCGGAGTCCGGTCCTGCCACCCACCATGGTGTTCCCATCGTGCCTCCTGTACTCCTACCAAATTTTTAACGCTCTGGGTTCACGGGGACAGCAATTATGAATTTCTGCCCAAATCTCGCCCATTGTGGGCGGAGTCCGGTCTTGCCACAAACCATAAGTGTTCCCATGCTGCCGCCTGTACTCCTATCAAGTTTGAGCGCTTTAGGTCCACGGGGACAGAAGTTATGACTTTCCGCTCAAACATTTATTTCGCACACCCCCCCNCCCCCCCCCCCCCCCCCCCCCCCACCCCTTGTAGACAGAGTCTGGCCCTGCCACCCACCATAAGTGTTCCCATGCTGCCGCCTTGGACCTACCAAATTTGATCTCTCTAGGTCGACGGGAACCCGAGTTATGGATTTCCGGTCACACACACACATACACACACACAGACAAACCAACAGACACACTTAGCGCGTTATATATAGTAAGATATTATATATGTATATACCAGTCGGGTCGCTCGGTTTACGCCGGGCCTCATTCTTTACTTTTACCAAGTAGTTTGAAAGTGCAGCTAATTGTAAGGAGCGGGGCATTGGTTTCATCCAACACTGAGGGCTAGAGTGCAGAGGAGGGGTAGGCGACCGAGCTGACCTCTACTTAGAAACGGTTCTAGGCGAAAGAATATGGTTTCAAGTACAGTAGGGGAGTAGCGGAGGGGTGGAATGATTACCTCGTGCAAAAGCTTAGGATGGGGGATGGGGTAAGAATTGAATATTCAATTGACTCACCCACCACGATACCCCTCCCCTCCTAAAGCTTAGATCAAAAAACTGTGTGCTCTCGCTTAAGAAACATTAATGAGCATAATTATGAGTTAACCTCTTTCTGTTGAAATTATGTTGAAAGAAGCAGAGGTTCCTAACTATATCATCCTTCCTCCGATTTTTATGAAGACATACATAGCACGATGCCGGCACACATCGAAATCACAGTTTTGAAGTACCCACTTCACTCCGCAGTAGTCACTCGTCTCCATCAAACTACCCACCAAGTTACTGCCCTATATATAAGGAGGAAGTGTTAAATAGCAATGTTTTCCATATCACTACCTTTATCGTAATCATGAAATTTTGCGTACAGAGAGACAGACACGCCGACAAAGCGACAAACCGACACCCCATGCTTCTACTTTACAATATAGGGAGATAAATGAAAGAAATACCATCCTCCTCATAAAATAAAGCAGTAATTTGGTGTATCGGTCTGTCAGTTTGCGGTTACGTCGAAAACTCTGTATATTGTTGGTCTACCCGTCCGCGAAATTTCATCGGCTCGATGAGGTAGTTATTACGGAGACCCACTAAACTAATTACAGGCACGAGAATTCATAGGCTGCCCAGGGTTCAGGAAGTTTTTGGTCGTTTTCCTAAAATGTTTGGTAGGGGTATTCTTACAGGTGCCAGACAATTGTGCAGCCTCCGACAAGATCGGTTCAATTCTAGTGCTCTCTGCTCTCGAAGTTTGCCTGCTGTACGAAATTGTTCTTCTGCAAGCTTTGTGATGTGTGAAATTTCTTTAAACCAATTGGGTCGCCTGGCTTACGTCGCGCCCCATTTCTTACTTTTAGTGCAGGGAAGGAGAGGTAGCCGACCTGATCCGTGCCTGGAAACGGTTCTAGGCGAAGGAATATGTATCAACCTGAGTTTCAGGAAGGGAGAAGCGCAGGAAGGGGGGGGGGGGGGGAGCGGGGAGGAGAGGGTGGTGAGATGATTACCTCGTGCAAAATGCTAGAAAGGGGTATGAGTTCAACAGTTAAATGTCACAATCACTCGGGCACTCCTTCCCTCATAAAGCTTAGGTCAAAAAACTGTTTATTCTAGGCTAGGAACTGCTTCTGAGCCCAATTATGGGCTAATATTCTTATCTGCGCTCTAGTGCACAACGTTAGAAAATGCGGAAGTCCCCCAACTACACTATCAATAGATATCATTATCATAAACTCACATAGCACGATGCTAATACAAATCGAAATCAATGTTTTGAAATACCCATTCAACACCATATTACTCACTTCACTTCGCATTGCTCACTCTACTCCATTGACCTACCCACTAATTTACTCCTTTATATATAAGAAGGATATGTGAGAGCTGGGCTTTTCATATCACTGCCTTTATGGTAATCATAAAGTCTGCGGACGGACGCACCGACATACCGACATACCGACAAACACCCAAACCGACAAACCGACACACCAAGTTACTGCTTTATAAATAAGAGAGATGCTGGCTGCTGTTGACAGCAACTGCTACGGATTTGCTCTATTTAACTCCCATACTCAGATTTTGAGGGCGATTTTGAGGGATTTTGAGGAGTGTCTTGCTGATTTCGAGATTGATTATGAGTGCTTCTTCACAGTTAAACGTGGTCTAATTGTATGCAAGCCTTTCCTGTAGCGCAACTTACCTGAACTTACGCCTCAAAGCATGGATGCAAACAAGGGGTTCATATACATTACACAGGGGAACTTACTCAAACGGACTTTTTTGAAATCAGACCACAATCAGCCTCGAGAGCTTACATCTTCCGTGTCTGGATCGGCGAAATCATCAAGCTCGCTATTCGGTGCGCAAAGCCGGATAAAGGAAAAGGTTCGACACCGCAGAAGTTCGTCCTCGAGCGATGTGGAACGACGATGGACCATCATGTGTATGCAGGTGATTACTGCCACTGTCTTAAATGTTGAGTTTGGAAGTTAATATCACAAAGCTGAGACAACCTGAGACTTCGCTTTTTCATCACAATAAGGAAGAGTAAGGAGTAGTGACTAGTCACAAACTCTGACGAAAATTTTCGAACAGGGATGCTTTGAAGAGTCAACGTCATCAAAGTTGTCGGCTCCATCAATCGCCTCCTCCATTGCTCAAAGCCAGTTCCTAAATTGAGTTGAGGACCTAAAAAATGCATTGGTCTATAACCCCTTGACATTCACGGAATTTTCTGACAAATTAATGCATTGAAGAACCTCACCGAGACGTAGAGGAGGGGAAAGGAAACCGACCACTCCACTATCAAAAGAGTCGATGGTTATCATAAATTGTGCACAACAATCCTGCAAGGCAATAACTCTGTATGTTGCAGGAGCAACCAAAACTTCGTTATTGATTACCCGTAAAGTTCCTTTCNAAGAACGAACTTTTTGTCAACTCTGTCA